AGGGTGTACTGGGAGCACTGGGAACACTGGGCCTGGGGGCTGCAGCTCCTCATTAACCTTTTCCCCTCCTTTTCTCCCCATTTCCCACCCAGGACATCAAAAGCACCTTCATCAGGTCAGTCCTTCCCAGTGGAATCTCCTTGGATTTTTGGTTGGGGTGGGGGTTGGGGGGGAACCCACCCTGGGGGGGCTTTTCCAGCCTGGAAAATTCCTGAGAATTCCTGGGAATTCCTGAGGGGGCACAGATGGGATTTTGGGGGTGGGAAGGGGCCTCAGAGCCCCCTCCATGTCTCATCATCTGCCCCCAAACAGCCAAATCCTGATTTTTTTTCCCTCTTTTTTCCCCCCCCCCCCTTCTCCCTTCCAGGTGTGAGAACATCAAATTCCAGGAGCCCGAGATGGTGCCGGTGGACGTGGGGAAGAAGTTCCGGAATTGCTTCCTGCAGGACGTGGTGATGAGGAAGATGGAAAAGGTCTTCAGCAAAGTGCCCCAAGGTGGGCAGGGGGCGGGAGAGAGAGAGCTGGGGAATAAAGGGGTGGAAATTTGGGGTTAAAGGGGTGGAAATTTGGGAATAAAGGGGTGCAAATTTGGGGTTAAAGGGGGTGGAAATTTGGGGTTAAAGGGGTGGAAGTTCGGGGTTAAAGGGCTGGAAATTTGGGGTTAAAGGGGTGGAAATTTTTGGGGTTAAAAAGCTGGAAATTGGAGGCTGAGGGAGCGAGAATTTGGGGTTAAAAAGCTGGAAATGGGAGGCCGAGGGATGGAGAATGAGGGGTTAAAAAACTGGAAATTGAGGCTTCAAGGAGTGAAAATTGGGGTTAAAAGGCTGGAAATGGGAGGCAGAGGGAGTGAGAATTTGGGGTTAAAGGGGTGATCATTTGGGGTTGAAGGGGTGATCATTTGGGGTCCGAAGGCTGGACATTGAAGGCTGAGGGGGTGAGAATTTGGGGTTGAAGGGGTAAAAATTGGGGTTGAAGGGGTGATCATTTGGGGTCCCAAGGCTGGACATTGGAGGCTGAGGGGGTGGGAATTTGGGGTTAAAGGGGTAAAAATTGGGGTTAAAGGGGGTGGATCATTTGGGGTCCAAAGGCTGGAAACTGGAGGCTGAGGGAGTGAGAATTTGGGGTTGAAGGGGTAAAAATTGGGGTTGAAGGGGTGATCATTTGGGGTTGAAGGGGTGATCATTTGGGGTTGAAGGGGTGATCATTTGGGGTCCAAAGGCTGGACATTGGAGGCTGAGGGGGTGGGAATTTGGGGTTAAAGGGGTAAAAATTAGGGTTGAAGGGGTTGATCATTTGGGGTCCCAAGGCTGCAAACCGGGGCTGAGGGGGTGCCAGTGGGGGGGTTGAGGGGCTCTGTTGGTGACCCCCC